AATAAATAAATAAAAAGTGATACTCATCAGTGAAACCTGGTTTCTTGTACCCTCAGTGAATCCCCCAACAATAAATTAAATAATAATAATAATAATAAAGATGAAATTAAAAGAAATCAAATTTACTGTTTTCTTAAGAAAAACAATACACCATATGTAGTTTCTCAAAGAAATTCATTTCTCCATATAGTGTTAAGTCAAAACCATGCCACAGAATACATTTTTCCTTGGCTACACAGGAAAGGTGAGCAATAACATTTATTTATTAGCAGGGAAATTTTTGTTCCTATGAAAGAACTCCTCTATTTTGTGAACTTTTCACAGAGCTTTCCAAAGAAATGGCTAAGTCAACACCCCAGGAACCAAGTAAATAAACAGCTTGAATCCTAAATTTACCTTTTAACACTGTTGTGAATATAAAAAACTCAGATCATCAGCAAACTATCTTCTTTATTTAAACAAACAAACAAACCACCCACCTCTGAAATAAAGTCTTCCACAAGGTGCTGGTAGTGGACACCGGAGGGGTCCTGTAGTTCCTCACTGTATTGCTTTCCCAAAAGGTGGATACTGAATTCTGCAATCTGTTCCGTTGCTGGTTTTGTGGTTTCTTCTATCACACTCTCAATTTCATTGCTAATCTGGATTTTTAGAGAAAGAACAATAAATGTCAATGTGTATTCATTCAGTCAACAAATATTTATTGATATTGCCTACAATGTGGCAGATATAGGGCCTAAGGCAACTTCTGATGACAACCTTTTATACCCTTGACTTTGTAACAAACTGGATATACTTTATAAGACATAGGTGAATATTAAAATTACTATGCATTTGTACATCCTTTGAACACAAACTAAACAGTTCAGGTGAAAGTAAAAAAGAATGTAAAAAAGGGAGTAAAAAAGGAGTTGACTATGCTATAATTATCATTTAAAATTAGCCTAGAAGGGTAGTTCTCAAACTTTTGGTCATAGAGCCCCTTTAAACTTTTAAAAATCATTGAAGAGCCCAAAGAAGTTTGGTTTATGTGAGTTTTACCTGTAAATAATAACAAATCAAAAAGTTTACAAGGAAATTTTTTTTAAATACAGGCATTTATTATTTTGAAATACTCATCCTAATACATGTAAAAATAAGATATTCTGCAAAATCACAGAGTGGTGATTCAGTGTTGAAGGTGCCAGTTTTCATGGAGCATCTGCGATCCTTTGCGACCTAGGCTTTGGTTTTAGACACCACCAGGGGGTAGAACACAAAGTAGAAGGCCTATCCACGCTGGAAAGTGAGATCAAATACTCCCTCTCGGGCTCGGTGCCTGTAGCACAGTGAGTAAGACACCAGCCACATACACCGAGGGTGGCAGATTCGAACCCGGACCAGACCAGCTAAACAACTGCAACAGAAAAAATAGCCGGGCATTGTGGCAGGCACCTGTAGCCCCAGCTACTTGGGAGACTTCGGCAAGAGAATTGCCTAAGCCCAAGAGTTTGAGGTTGCTGCGAGCTGTGATGCCACGCACTCTATTGAGGGCAACATAGTGAGACGCTGTCTCAAAAAAAAAAGAAAAAAAAACATACTCCCAGTGAGTTCCAAAAACTCAGTGGACAGTTTGAAAAACACATAAGACTAAATTGAAAGAAAAGCAGAAGACAGAACTAAATGTAACAGAGAAAGACAAAAAGTGAATGTTATTAACTAAGACACAAGAGAGAGAAAATGAGGCCAGACATATAACCTAATCACAAGAGATAACAGCTAAGAATTTCTCAGAATTTATGTTAGACATAAAGCCTCACATTAAGGAAATACAACAAATCCAAAGCAAAACAAATAAACATCAGTACAGACCTGTACCCACTCTGTGAAACTGCAGAATCTCAAATATAGATGCATGTGTGTGTGTATACACCCACACATATATTTGAAGATATATATCTTAAAAACAGCCAAAGAAAACAACCAGATTACCTAAAGTGAAGGCTGAAGTAATAACAATACAAGTCAGAAGATAATAAAACAAAACTTCGACAAAAAAAGCTCTCATTCCAGATTTGGATATAGATTTAAGATATGTTTCTAGAATTAGAAGATAAAGAAGAAATTTTCAGGTGATCAAAACTGAGACTGAACCAGTGAGAAACTCTTTTTTTTTTTTTTTTTTGAGACAGAGTCTCACTCTGTTGCCCTCAGTAGAGTGATGTGGTGTCACAGCTCACAGCAACCTCAATCTCTTGGGCTCAAGCGATAATCTTGCCTCAGCCTCCCTTGTAGCTGGGACTCCTGGCACCTGCCACAACACCCAGCTATTTTTAGAGATGGGGTCTCACTCTGGCTTAGGCTGGTCTCAAACCCAGGTGCTCAGGCCACCTACCCACCTCAGCCTCCCAAATTCTGGTATTACAGGCATGAGCCACCATGCCCAGCCAAGAAACTTTTGATAAAGTAATACCAGAATTACATATATCAGAAGGGAAGTCATTGCAGAAGAAAGGTCTGAAATGCAAAAAATAACTTTAAGGAAATGAAGTAGTAAACATCTGGGTAAATGGGAAACAAACTTTAACTGTATAAATCAAATATAATACAGTCTAATCTGTAAGATTAAAAAGAGAAAGGGAGGCCAGGTGCGGTGGCTCACGCCTGTAATCTTTGCATTCTGGGAGATTGAGGCGGGTGGATTTCTTGAGCTCATGAGTTCGAGACCAGCCTGAGCAAAAGTAAGACCCTGTCTCTACTAAAAATAGAAAAACTGAGGCAAGAGAATTGCTTGAGCCCAAGAGTTGGAGGTTTCTGTGAGATATGACACCACGGCACTCTACCCAGGGCAATAGCTTTGAGACTGTCTCAAAAAAAAAAAAAAAAAAGAGAGAGAGAGAAAGAGAAAGAACAAACATATTGAAAAATAGCATATAAGTCAGAAGGATGATCTTTTGAATTACAATTTTCTAATGTTCCTACATTGCTCAGAATAAAACAAAAATGTTGAAAAGCTTAAGCTTTTGTTAAGTTAAATACACGTTATGACTTATAGGGTAACTACCAACAAAACACAAATACAGCATACAATTTCTAGGAGAGAAGATCCAAAAATACATTAGGAAAATAACTGAACTATAAAACTATCCCTTGGGCTTCATTTTGAACTAGAGGTACAGGCAATCTAATTTTTGTTAGGGTTCTCTACACCGTTTTGTTTCCTAATGGTACTCTGTTTCAGATATTAATTCATTCCACACAATTCCTTTATTTCTATTACAATGAATTCTATCTCATACTATCAGGGGAGTCCAACCATCTGACCTTTTCTTTCCTGCCGCACTTTGAAAGAAGAGTTTGTCTTGGGGCACATGTTAAAAATGCAAACACAAAAAAAAGCTGATGAGTTAAAAAAAAAAAAAAAAAAGTCAGCTCTGTGCCTGTAGCTCACGCGGCTAAGGTGCTAGCCACATACACCAGAGCTGGCAGGTTTGAATCCAGCCCGGGCCTGCCAAACAACAATGACAACTACAACCAAAAAATAGCTGGGCATTGCAGTGGGTGCCTATAGTCCCAGCTACTTGGGAGGCTGAGGCAAGAAAATCCCTTAAACCCAGGAATTGGAGGTTGCTGTGAGCTGCAATGTCACAGCACTCTACTCAGGGCAACAGCTTGAGGCTCTGTCTCAAAAAAAAAAAAAGTCTATGCATAATATTTGCAATACAGGCCTTAAATATTCTGCATGCCAAGCAGGCCGCAGCTTGGACACCCCTTAAATTGACCTAATTTTCAAAGACTGGACATGCATCACATGTACATACCATACAGCAGACTCAGTTCCTTATGTTGACCACCTCCATATGCTGATCAGTTTTTTACAGTCCCTTGGGTAGTCAACTTGCAGAGGTTCTATTGTATTTATAAAATGCCAATATTTTCTAGCACCGCCTACTTGGGACAAGGTTATACTTCAGGTGAAAGTATTAATTCAGGTGTTCACTCTAGGGATCTCAAGTTACCACCAGCCTTGTTCAGTAATGGGTAGGGCAAGGAGAGGCAGGTTGACTTCACTTGATGGCATATAAGTTAAAATGCCCAAGTTGGGAAGGGAAGGAACAAGGTAACTAAATTGCATCTTTCCTGGGAATATGTTCAGTTAGTGTTTACTCTATACTAAATACACTAGGATTATGAACTGCCAATTTTTTTTTTTTTGACAGAGCCTCAAGCTGTCTCCCTGGGTAGAGTGCCATGGCATCACAGCTCACAGCAACTTCCAACTCCTGGGCTCAAGCAAGTCTTCTGCCTCAGTCTCCCAAGTAGCTGGGACCACAGGCACCCGCCACAACACCCGGCTACTTTTTGGTTGCAGCCGTCATTGTTGTTTGGCAGGCCCGGGCTGGATTCGAACCCACCACCTTAGGTATACGTGGCTGCCACCTTAGCCACTTGAGCCACAGGCACTGAGCCAACTGCCAATTTTTAAATACAGAATTTAACAAAATAGTTATTTCTATCTTCCTGGGCAGTGTGTCATTTTTTTGTTAATGTGTAATATTTTTTGTGATGGTGACTTAGCTAAAGGATCTGATGTTGTTTGGTAGACAGGTTCCTACTAATAATAGTGCTCTTAAATGCATGGTAATTGTTGATTTCTAAGCTACATAAAATCTCTATTATTTTTCCCTATAGAAGAGAAGACTAACACCTGGTCTATTAAGGGATAAAAGAACATAGGCAAAAACCACCTTAGTAAATCATGTTGCCCAGTCCACAAGAGGCAGTGGGCTTCCCTTATGACAGTCCCCCAAGCCCCATGTTATCTCATTCACAACTTGAAGCCCTCTCTCACCAAGAACTCACAAATAAAATATTTATTCAGCTCTCCAAGGAATCTCAGATTTTTTTAATTCTATTTTACTTTTTTAGAGATGGTGTTCTCTGTCAGCCAGGCTGGAGTGCGGCGGCACAATCATAGTTCATTATAGCCTCAAACTCCTGGGCTCAAGTAATCCTCCCACCTCAGCCTCCCAAGTAGGGACTACAGGCATTTGTCACCATGACCAGCTTCAGATTCTTTTCAATGTGCTGCTTTTAGAATCTACAACATTGCTATAACAGTGTACTACATGAAGTCCTGTGTAGTCCAGCAGTGGAATATAAACTCTCTCTTAACCACTATTCTTCACATTAAAAACTAATTTACAGAATAGAGCATAACTCACACTCTCATCTGGCCTTTCCAAGCTGCTCTCTGAGGCACCTTCGTAGGAGGCCACCTCTGGATATGAAACACTGAGAGCACCACCTAAATAAGAAAACAAAAATATATATATGAATTCAGTCCCTGACTAAGTTGAAATTCACATCACGAATAAGGAACTGAGTTAATCGCTTCTCAGCCTTCTGGCTAAGATCAAGTATAGGAACTGACTACAAAAATCATTTCTATAAGTTGCTTGCTTTTTGTAGAAATTCAGTAAATTCTAACATCAAAACACATTTCACAGAATCTTCTCAGAACAAGAAATAATTATGACTCATTCAAAAAGCATTTATTGAATACCTAGTACATGCCAGGGTCTGCACAAGGTGCTAGGGATAGAAAGACAAAGTTCCTACCCTTACGGAGCTATCCCGTTAACAGGACAGATAATGAAAGAAGTAACGGGGGGGACGGGGGGGGTGGGGAGTGGGTGACAGTTGGAGATTGGCCACAAAATGGTAAGTATTGAAAATGGGCCTCACTTTGCTAGTCTGCTTTTGTACAAGTTTGCAATTTCTAATACAGGCATACATCAAAGATACTGCACTTTTTTTTTTTTTTTGGCTTCCCAGTGCATATAAAAGATAGGTTTACACTGTACTACAATGTGTTAAGTGTGTGATAGCATTATGTCTATAAAACAACATACATGCCTTAATTAAAAATGTTTTATTAATAAAAAACACTTACATAAGAACACCAAATGAGCACATGCTCTTGGAAAAATGGCACTGATAGACTTGCTCAGTGCAGGATTGCCACAAATTTTGAATTTGTAAAAACACAGTATCTGCGAGGCACAATAAAGCATAGTGCAATAAAATGAGCCTGTACAGAGACATCTGTGTTTTTTTTAATTAAAAATAAAGCTACTACTGGCAGGGCACAGTGGCTCACGCCTGTAATCCTAGCATCCTGAGAGATAGAGACAGGTGGATTACTTGAGCTCAAGAGTTTGAGACCAGCCTGAGCAAAAGCAAGACCCTGTCTCTACTAAAAATAGAAAAACTGAGGCAAGAGAATCACTTGAGCCCAAGAGTTGGAGGTTCTGTGAGCTATGATGCCATAGCACTCTACCCAGGGCAAGAGCTTGAGACTCTGTCTCAAAAAAATATAAAAAATAAATAAAGCTACTACTAATGTGCTATTAATGAAATATAGGGGTCAATATATTAAACTATATCACAAAATGCAATCATAAAAATTCTTACTTTGAAAAACTCTATAAGACAAAAGTCAAAGGCTGAGGCCAGAAAGGTTCTACTTTTTGCCATAGGTAGTGGTTACAGAGTGTTTGCCTTAAAATAATTCATTAGGCCACACACTTGTTTTAAATGGTGTTTTGATTTGTATTATACTTAACAATTTCACATTTTTAAATGCCAACAACATAATGAAACTAGTGAAAATAATTACTTTTTCTTGATAGTCTCAAACAGCATACACAGAAACCACATATTTTTTTAAATGTCAACTGAAAAAAACATACTTATTTACAAGACTCTCTTAAACTATAAATAATTTTAAAAAGAAAAATGAATAAAGGCACAAAAGCATACCTCCCAATGTTGAAGTATCACCAACAGGAACTGGAGATGATGGTTTAGGGCTAGGGAAAAAAAAGTTGCTCTTAACAAAATGTTAGAAATGTGAGGATTTCCTTTGGGATATGAGGTTTTTTTTTTCTGAAAGGAAATAACTAGTCCTTCAAATAAGGATTCCTAAAACAAAGTACCAGTTAACAGGCTTGGAGCCTGTAGCTCAGAGCAAGGGTGCCTGCCACATACACCGGAGCTGGCGGGTTCAAATACAGCCTGAGCCTGCCAAACAACAATGACAACTACAACCAAAAAATAGCTGGGCACTGTGGCAGGCGCCTGTAATCCCAGCTACTTGGGAGGCTGAGGCAAGAGAATCACTCAAGCCCAGGAGTTTGAGGTTGCTGTGACCTATGACACCACGGCAGTCTACCAAGGGCAACAAGTGAGACTCTGTCTCAAAAAAAAAGTACCATTTAGCACAGTTAAAAAAGAATTAGTACTCACAATTTGTTTATTTTACATTTATTGATGCTTATTCAACTAGAAGCACCTACCTGAAGTACTTCCCCACTTACTATTTCATCACCCTGTATTTCTTTTCAAGTCTATCACTATGTTAAATTTTGGTATTTATCTACTTATTTCTGTTCCCATCCCTTAATTCTCTAGAACAGTATTGTCTAATTATGGAAGCTGCTGGACATGTGCAGTAATTTAAACTCATTAAAATTAAGCAAAGTTAAAAATTCAGTTCCTCATTCTCACTGGCCACATTTCAAATGCTCAGTAGCCACATGTGGCTAATGGTTACCATACTGGACTACAGCGAAGAACACTTCCATCATCACGGTAACCTCTACTGAACAAGCATGCATTCAGAATCTAATTCCATGAGCTTAGGGACCTTGCCTGCCGTATTCCTGTTATATTTCCACTACCTAAAACGGCATCGGCCTTTTAGTAGGCATTAAAAAGATACTGTTGGAATGAATGACTAAATGGTACTATGTACCAAGCAGTGAGCAAAACACCCATGGTCAGTGAAGGTTACTGTCCTATGGACAATGCAGACACCAGATAGATGACTACAAATGTGGTAAGTAGCCGACAGGAGAATACTGGCTGCCCGGGGAAGCAAATGTCCGTGAATCACATCCTCTTGGGATGAATCTTTTTATGTAAAGAAAGTCAAGTTTAGAGAAATGACTTATATTGGCCACACTGTTGACAGGTGTTAGTTAGGTCTCATAGCTGACCTTTCACCAAGCCGTCCTGCGACTACAAGCAAAGATCAGAAGAGATGACAATCTGAGAAATCCCTGCTCTGAAAGGAAAGACAGTAGGTTTCCACTAGTCCAGACTTTCACAGATCCCAAAGGTATAAGGTTAAACTATAGTGAATTGGGGATGTTAACAATAACATTTGTATATGCTGGTCACTACAAAAGTTTCGAGACAGACTGTGTTATGGTCCATTATTGCACTTTCAAGAAACCCAGTCACTAGTGGGTTTCTGATCCACCCATCCAAGTTTCAACTTGCTTGGCTTATTGGTGCTACTGGGAGGGCTTCTTTTATGTCCATCTATGCAGATTTTACATTTCTTAGTTTTTGTGTATCTCAAAACTTCAATGACCCACAAAAATGTCCTAAGGTGAAAGGGTTGTTCCATTAACCTTTTCCAGAAGTACCAGATCAGTGGTAACAGTGTCAGTTTTCAAATCATAGCTGAAATTAAAAACTGTCTTCAACATTACACAAGCCAGCCTCCTATGGTGATTTGATCACAATTAAAAATGCCTCCCTCCTAGGGTGGTGCCTGTGACCCAAGGAGTAGGGCGCCAGCCCCATATACTGGAGGTGGTGGGTTCAAAACTGGCCCCGGCCAAAAACTGCAAAACAAAAAAGTTTCCCTCCTGGACTTGCCCAGGTGCCAGTAAGACCCATCTCCAGAACCACTCTTTTAGATTACCCTGCTGCTCAAAATTAGGTCATAAGAGGAACTGAAAGCCAACAGATAAACAGGACATTTTAACATTATAACAAACATGGTATACAGTACAATATAAAGTTTGAATGAATATTAAGAGAAAATATGATAATTCAAAGGCATTTTGCTATTGAAGCTGGAGTGGGAGGGTCAACTAGGGGCATGTTCTCTAAACCTCCAGGCTTTGGAAGGAAAGCTGAGAATCAGCAAGTTAAGAAAAGAAATCTCAGTCAGTGTGGTGAGATTTCTTAACACTTTGGAAGGCTGAACCAGGAGGATCACTTGAGGCTAGGAGTTCAAGACCAGTCTGAGCAAGAGCATCTCTACAAAAAAATAGAAAACTCTGCTGGGCATAGTCCCAGCTATTTGGGAGGCACAAGGATCACTCAAGCCCAGGAGGTTGCAGTGAACTATGATGATGCCACTACATTCTAGCCCTGGAGAAAGAAAGCAAGACCGTATCTCAGAAAGAAAAAAAAAGGAAAAATTTCACCATAATTATACATCTGATTTTTAAAAATACTATCTAAAACATATATTTAACTGTTAAACTAAACCTATCATTATTGGTTATTTAGAGCACACTTGCATGAAATTACTTACTAAGTGAGCTATCATCTAGAAGAACCTAAAGGAAGATAAAATATGGACAAATCACTTTGATGAACAGAATAAGGCCTGAATGATGAAAAAACATCAGGAGGCTTCTTGGACTGAAGATAGAGCTAAAAAAAAAAAAGTCATTCAGATGCATTTGGAACAGATATCAGCTCAAGCCTGAATAGTGCCTGTCAGTTGTCCATAAGGCAGTACCCTCTTCTCAATACCTTCATTTCACCGATGAAAAACATGAGGTCCAAATTGGCAAAGCAATTTTCCTAGGCTCACACAAAAGTTCTGTCTCCAGTTCCCTTCCACAGGAAGAATAATTACAATTGAATTAACTGAGCCCTCATCACGTGTCAAGCACTGTGCTGAGTGCTTAATTTGGTTAAATCACTTAATTCTGAAAACCATCTTAAAAAAGAGATCTTATTATCCCCATTTAGACAGATGAGGGACTAACGCTAGGAGAGATTAAGAATTATTTGATGTGGATCACACAGCTAGCCAATGGAGAAGCCGTGATGTAAAATAGGCCCACTGAGTCCCAGAAACCTCCCTCTTACCCACATCAATTCACTGCCTCACAACATGGCCCCTGTGTGGCTCAGACTCTTCAAAAGGGTTTCACTTAGCCTTCATGATTGTGGCCTATGGAAATACCCAAAAAGTCAAAATACATAAGGTCCTAAAAAGAAGAAGGGGATCCTGATCAGAGCTGGAGACCTATGGATAGCAACCAGGCAATGAGGAATAAGGTAGGCAAAGGGATGACAGCACAAACACAGTAACTAGAACAGGATGTTGGGATAAGATGGAAGAGAAATTAAACCTCACCTGGGGTGGGCCAAATTGTCCCTCACAGAAAAATCAAATTTAAACTTATTCTCTAACTAAAGCAAGCATTCAGTATGGAGAAGCACTTCAGCGGAACCAGATTCACCTTACTAAATTCAAAATGACATTATTTTAATGATGGGAAGTAGGAAACTGTCAGTAATTTAAATCACTTGTGTAACACGCCAACTCTTAATCCCTTACCCTCCCACTCTCCTTTCAAAAGACAGTAAAGAACACTTAACAACAAGACTGTTTTTACATTTTTTCATTAAGTACACCTCTTGCAAGGATCCCTTAAAATGTCACTCACAACAGCACTAGAACACATAGGTGTATTGAGTTTAGTGACAGAAATACTACTTCATTTCTAAGCCAAACCACAAATTTGAAACTTGTTCAACTCAGACCTTTAGCTTAATACCAGCAGCAAACAACCCCCTACTGTCTCATTTCCTCGTCTCACCCAGCACATCACTGTTCATTCTTCACCACCACTTTTAATCATGTCAGAGGAATTCAGGTGGGATTGTATGAAAGGACACTCGCAGCCACATAGAACATAAGTTTAAAGACAGTGAAACAAGCCAGACATAGGTTCCTATGTAGATTATTACTTACCTTCATTACTTTCTAGACTTTGCTTTGCTCTTGAATCTTTTACTGTCATCAGCATGTGACAGCAAAAGAGCTCAAGGTGAGGGGTCTCAGAATCCTAATGATGCCAAACAAGGTGGCACCAAGACCAGCCACCTTGGCCCTGGACCTATTGCTGTTGTGGCTGCGAACTCACAGGAGAAGACACTGGCACCATGCTGTCTCCTCACGTGGACTTCTGGCAAGTCAATTCCTCCAGTGCATCCCTGATTGCTCTGTTTCCAAAACCTGCTCCTGATTGGTCTGTTTTCAAGACCTGAAAGCTCATTGGACAACTGACCATAACTCACAAGGACCTACCACTATATAAGCCCCTAAGCAGAGAACCCAAACACAGACCTCCAAAAGAGAGCAGAAGAGCAAGGAGGTTTGGTTCTTTGTGAGAGCTGTAACACTTGTATTGTTAAATAAAACCTAACCTACTGCTGATCCTGTGGTCGTTGCTTCATTCTTTGAACCACCGAGACCAAGAGCCTGGAATTCCGGTATCACTAGGTGCTAGTCCAAGTTGTATCATTAACTTTGTGAAAATACCTTACCTACTCTGGGCCTCAAGTACTTAACCTCTAAGGCAGAAACAGCCTCCTATTTCACAACCGTGTTGATGAAAGCTAAATAAGACATACACAGAAGCATTATGAAAAGTATGAAGTGCTAAGCAGATAATATGAGAAAACAGGGGCTAATGGAACACTGACACGTGTCATACCAAACAGAATGAAATGTTGGCTTAAAAAATTCTATTTGGCTTTGCGATCCATGACAGACCTCCTCAACTACAAAGGTTAACTGAGGCATGCATTTACAAAAATTCCCAAAGAGCAGTCCTCATGCTGAGAATATCACCAGAAATCTGACTTGGGTGACTGGCAGAAATCTAGTATTCATTTAACAAATATTTAGCAACCACATATCCTAGGCCAGGCCTTGTACTGGTTACTGAGGACATACAGTAAAACCAGATAGCAGAGAGTTAAACAG